TTTTAGTAGAGATGGGGTTTCACCACTTTGGCCAGGCTGGTCTTGAACTACTGACCTCAAGTGATCCTCCTGCCTGGGCCTCCAGAAGTGCTGGGATAACAGGTGTGAGTCACTGCATCCAACTGTGTATCTTGCATACACGAGATACTCTACCTAAGACCTTGCTCATAGCTGATTCCCAGTAAAATGTTTGTGGAATTCAACTGAATAATACATTTTCCTGCAAACTAAAACCACAAAGAGGTAACAATTTCACACTCACTGTGATAGCTATAATCTAAAACAGACAATAAAATACTGGTGAGGATGTAAGGACACAGGAAACCATATACATTGCCAGTAGGAATGTAAAACAGTACAGCCATTTTGGAAGACAGCTTGGCAGTTTCTTTAAAAGTTAAACATGCTTACTATACAACTCAGCAATCCCCTTCCTAGGTATACACACAAGAGAAATGAAAACATAAACCCACACAAAGACTGGTATGCAAATATTCAGGTCAACTTTATTTATAATAGTGAAAAAGTGAAAACCACTCAAATGTCTATCAACTGGCTTAATATTTAAACAAAATACATGACATACCCACACAACAGAATATTCAGCAAAAAAAAGAATGAAGTACTAATACATGCCACAACACAGATGAACCAAAAAATATTACTAAGTGAAAAAAGCCAAATACAAAAGACCATCTGTCATAGGATTCCATTTATATGAAATGTCCAGAATAGGCAAATCTATAAAGATAGAAAATAAATTAGTGGTTGCCTGAGGCTGGTGATGAAAATAGGCAATAACCGTAAATGAACAAGAGGGATCTTACTTGGATGATGAAAATATCCCCAAACTAGATTACGGTGACTGTACAACTCATAAAAATCATTAAATTACACAACGAAATAAGTCAATTTGATGGTATGTAAATTACACCTCAGTAAAGTTGTTGTTGTTTTTCGTTTTTTGTTTTTTTTTTTTTTTTTTAATCAATGCATTTTTCTAAAATAAGCAAAAACATTTAGCTGGCCGGGTGTGGTGGCTCATGCCTGTAATCCCAGCACTTTGGGAGGTGGGTGGATCACCAGAGGTCAGGAGTTCGAAATCGGACTGGCTAACATGGTGAAACCCCGTCTCTACTAAATATGCAAAATTAGGTGGGCATGGTGGTGAGTTTCTGTAGTCCCAGCTACTCAGGAGGCTGAGGCGGGAGAATCACTTGAACCCGGGAGGCGGAGGATGCAGCGAGCCGGGATCATGCCACTGCACTCCAGCCTGGGCAACAGTGAGACTCAGTCTCCAAAAAAAAAAAAAATTATTTAGCTAACTACAGAGAAAGGAAAGATACAGAATGGAGGGAGCAGAGATAGAAGCTAGACTTCTCTGAACACACCTCGTATTTAACTTTTTAAAATTTCCTTCTGGAACAATGTAAATGATCTAAATAATGTAAGATCAAATCGAAAGGGAAAAAGCAACCCCTTACAACTGAATGGAAATAGAAACAAATGAACCTTAATTGCGTATTGAATTTGTGGCTTAACAACAACAGAGAGAAATTATTTCAAATGACTTTAAAATATAGTAATTTGTGGCTGGGCCCAGTGGCTCATGCCTATAACACCAGAACTTTAGGAGACTGAGGCAGGAGAATGGCTTGAGCCCAGGAGTCCAAGATCAGCCTGGACAACACAGTGAGACTCTGTCTGCTTTTTCAAAATAATAAAATAAAATAAAATACAATTATTTGCACATCCTTAGAAAATATACACAAGGACAAAAAGAACTGCAATGAAATAATAAACTTCAAAGTAATATTGCTAATAACATTTAGATTGTTACTTGGATTCATATATATTACAATTAATATATATGATTTTATAGATCTATGTGTGTATAGGAAAAAAGTAACCACATTACTGTTAAGATCAAGATTTTCAATATAAGAAAAAAGAGATACAATTAGAAAGTCAAAGAAGTTAAATGAAACTCTGTAATCCTAAATTTGAATTAGAAATATCAGTACGAATTCATGTTTTTTTGTTTGTTTTAAGAAATAATACAAGTACTGCCTAGCTCTATCCATAGAAAAAGCCTAGAAATAATGGGCAACCTAGGAGCATTCAGACTATGGTCAATAAATAAAGAACCAGTTCCTTGGAGAAATTAAGAATTTCAGGCCTGGGACAGAAAATATTAAAAAAGAGTCTGGAACACCTCATCACACAAGAAATAAAGGAAATTATTAAAGACCCCTACGGTCATGCCAAAGAACTCAGAGCTAACTTGAAAGCCTCTTTACAGCCAAAGATGGAGTTATTTGATTTTATTAAGCAGAATAATGGCTAGGCGCAGTGGCTCATGCCTGTAATCCTAGCACTTTGGGAGGCTGAGGCGGGTGAATCACGAGGTCAGGAGATCAAGACCATCCTAGCTAACAAGGCGAAACCTCGTCTCTATTTAAAAAAAAAAAAGAAGAAAGAAAGGAAGAAGAAAGAAAGGAAGAAGAAAGAAGAAAGAAGGAAGAAGAAGAAGAAGAAGAAGAAGAAGAAAGAAAGAAAGAAAAAGAAGAAGAAGAACAACAACAACAACTACAACAACTATATTTGATTGGAACAATATTAAGTCTGTTTAAAAATCCATAAGAAGAAGAAGAAGAACTGTCTTTGATTGGAACAACATTGTTTGTTTAAAAATTCATGAGTCACAGTGATACTTAAAAAAAATAACGGTGAACAAAGAAACTATCATTGGTTACCTTTGGAGAATCTTAGGGAACCAACTAATTATTTTAAAAACTAGTAAACAGAAAGAAATAAAATTTTTAAATGCTGCAAGAAAATGTTTTGCTTTTTTTTTTCTTCTGGCCGGGCACAGAGGCTCACACCTGTAATCCTAGCACTTTGGGAGGCTGAAGTGGGCAGATCACCTGAGGTCGGGAGTTCAAGATCCTGATCAACATGGAGAAACCCCGTCTCTACTAGAAATGCAAAATTAGCCAGGTGTGGTGGCGCATGCCTATAATCCCAGCTACTTGGGAGGCTGAGGCAGGAGAATCGCTTGAACCTGGGAGGCAGAGTTTGGGGTAAGCTGAGATCATGCCATTGCACTCCAGCCTGAGAAACAAAAGTGAAATTCCATCTCAAAAAAAAAAAAAAAAGTATTTTTTTTTCTCTTTCAACACTTGTTATGACCTGGTGCGGTGGCTCATGCATGTAATCCCAGCACTTTGGGAGGCCGAGGTGGGTGGATCACTTGAGATCAGGAGTTTGAGACCAGCCTGGCCAACATGGGGAAACCCCGTCTCTACTAAAAACACATAAATCAGCCAGGCATGGTGGTGGGTGTCTGTAATCCCAGCTGCTTGGAAGGCTGAGGCAGAAAAATCACTTGAACCCAGGAGGCAGAGGTTGCAGTAAGCCAAGACTACACTATTGCACTGCAGCCTGGGCAACAAGAGTGAAACTCCAACAAGAAAGAGAGAAAGAGAGAGAGAGAGAAAAAAAGGGGAGGGAGGGAGTGAGGCAGGAAGGAAGGAAGGAAGGGAGGGAGGGAAGGAGGGAGGGAGGGAGGGAAGGAATTTAGTTGGAGTTGGAGTAAATAGAAATAGTTAATAAATTCTCCTTACCTCACACCTATGAGACTAACATTGGGCACTCACAGTGAGGGCAGGTTTGCGGCCAAAAAACAAACACATTTCTCTAAAAGCTCCTTTGTTCATAAGAGTTCCAAAAGGATAACTGTAGTCCTCCATGAAAGCTCAACAAAGTTTCCCATCCTGCCAGGGCACACCTGCCAAGTTCATGTTCCTGGTTATCTCTATGGCCTGAACTTGCCTGAGAATACCCTGTGGCTCCACAAAAATACATGTTAACCACCATACAATCCTAGCCCTACCGAGGCTGGTAACTTGGTTCCAAACTAGAGCCTCAAGAAACAAGCCTGAGCACTCAGGTTTTTCTCTCAGGAATCTGGGGAGATCTGTTGTTCTATCTTTAACCAGCAGGTAGCACCAACTCCCCAGCTAGGATGTTTCCTTCGCCTCATCCCTGGAGTCAGCACTTTGCCTTCTATTCCCACTTGCTGAGGGAGTGCTCCTTCTAATCCAGGCGTCCCCAAACTATGGCCCACACATGCGGCCCCCTTAGGCCATTTATCTGGCCCCCCGTCGCACTTCAGGAAGGGGCACCTCTTTCATTGGTGGTCAGTGAGAGGAGCACAGTATGTGGAGGCCCTCCGATGGTCTGAGGGACAGTGAACGGGCCCCCTGTGTAAAAAGTTTGGGGACACCGACTAATCCATCAGCCTTGTGTGCAGCAACGGGTATCAGAGAGCTGTCTGAGAAATAGCTTTGTTTTGTTGAGCTAAAAGGGATGTAAGAGAACAGTCTTTTTATAAAAATAGGGCTGTATTTTTCCAATAGCAATTCAGATCTAAAAAGGATTTGCCTTCTTAGGAGGAAGGCCACGTGACCATGTGAACATTCTTCAGGTTGCTCTTGGTGTGACGGCTGCTACAAAGTTGTGCTTGCCAGCGCATATACAAACCCAGAAACTAAAGTGTTCTAATTAACGAGGCTTCTTTAAAGGTTATTAGAGATGAGGAAAAGTCTACATTAGAGAAGGATTATGAACCTTCACTCCACCCTTATAAAGCAACACCAATAGCTTTTCTCAACCCTCATAATCTGAGTCCTTCAAGAGCCTCATTTTGATTCAGCTGAGCAAAGAGACCGCTAATAACCAGACTGCTGAGGCCAGGGCCAAACCACAAATGGGTAAAAAAATCCCTCCATTTCATTAAGCAAAGAATTAGGAAGTTCTGGGTTTACAAAACAATAGCTTGTCTCCAGACCAATCTTAATTTCCTTTCCAACTCCCATCCACCTTTGTTCACTGCCAAATACAGAGAAGACGACGCAGTGATGTCTGTGAAAGGCAGTGCAACTTTCTAGGCCATGTCCAAAACAAGCAACAGGAATCCCATACTTCATTGACCCTACCTGGAAATGCAAAATAATGGTCCAGATCAGACCCAGGGTCAACTTGGGGTTGCCATCTGTGATGTCATCATTGCGAATATTCACTAGTTTCACCTGTAAAAGAAACAAAAGCAAGGCTCAGAGCTCTAGGACTTTTTGTTTTGATTAAATTTTTACATAATTTCATTTTTGATTTTCAGTTGAACTGATTTCTTTTTTGGTGTACAGTGAGTTTTAACACATGCATAGTTTCATGCAAATACCACCACAAAACAGTTTCATCACCCCAAAAAGGTCCCTTGTGCTGGCCCCCTCCTTGTAGTCAAACCCTACCCTCACCCCTAATTCCCGACAACTACTGATCGGATCCTGATCCCTTGTTTTCCTTTTTCCAGAGTGTTGGATAAATGGGATCATGCAGCATGCAACATTTTGAAACTGCCTTTTTATTTCACTCAGCATAATACCCTTGAGACTGCCATCCAAGCTGTTGCATGTATCAATAGTTTGCTCCTTTTGATCACTAAGTAGTATTCCATTACAGAGATGCTACTCTTTGTTCACCCATTCATCCACTGAAGGATATGTGGAATATTTCTATTTTTTGGCAATTATGAATAAAGTTCCTATATTCATGTGCAGGTTTTTATGTAAGCATAGTAATTTCTTTAGGGTACATTCCTAGGAGTAGGATTGCTGGGTTATATGGCATAGATAATGCAAAAAAACATACTATATATGGTATATGTTTGCTTTATAAGAAATCAACAGTGTTGCTATGCCATTTTACATTCTCATCAGCAAAGCAACCTCACAAGCACAAGATATTGTGAGTCGCTTTTTTATCGCCATCAGGGCCAAGATTTCTCTTTCTTTTATTTTCTGTCTCTCTCTCTCTCTCTCCTCACTTTTTTATGGCCATCAGGGCCAAGGTTTCTCTTTCTTTTTTCTTTCTTTTTTTTTTTTTTTTGGTTCTGAGAGAGAAAGAAGAGAGATGCCTCTCTTCCCTTACCAGTCTTTGGCCTGCTCTCACCTCCATTATCCCATCCTTTGTCACAGATATACACACCTGCCATGCCTCTGGCTTTACTCCAAAAATCTCATCCCAACAATACAATGTGCCCTGACACACCCTCACCCTAGGCTGACTTACTGCCCCTGTGTGCTGGGAACTGAGGCATTTCCTAGGATGTAGAACTTTAAAACTGGGAGTTTCTGGGCAAACCATCCTTTATCATACCCTCAGAGTCCTATGACATAGTACCCTTCAGCTGTCCTCTCTTTATCTCTTCCATTGAACTGAAACTTGTGTCTCTAAAGGACCCTAGTGACCTTCTCATATGGAAGCCTCATTTCTCCCTTACACAGACATTCACCTGGGCAAGTTTTTTTCCTTTTCAGTATCTTGGTCTCCTCTCTTCTATATGGTTAGGAGTGGGAGAACATGCCCCCTACCCAATAATTCCATTTTTCTTTTCTTTTCGGGTTTTTTTTTTTTTTTTTAAGACAAGGTTTCACCATGTTGGTCAGGCTGGTCTTGAACTCCCGACCTTAGGTGATCCGCCCACCTTGGCCTCCAAAGTGCCTGAATTACAGGCGTGAACCACCATGCCTGGCCGATAATTCCATTTTTCTAATCACTAACAGTTGACAGTTGGTGGGTTACCAGTACCAGCCAAGTCCACATTCCTCAGTCCTACCTCTGTCAGCTTTCCCTTTTCATTGTGAAGTCTACCTCCCTTGGTCAAACCACCTTCCAACCTCTGCTAACCTTTTTCTCAATGACCTCAGTACCTAGCTCCTATCTCTTTTCCTGCCTCATCACCCACCACCTTTCCTGACAATTTAGCATTTTTATTGATGTCCCAAATATTCCCCTATCTGCACAAATTGCCTGCCTTCTGAATCTGATGACTTTCATTTTGCCCTACTTTACCATTACCAAGAACTGCTCTAGTAATCTCCCTGCCCTTCTCTGAATCGACTGCTCTTTTTTTTTGAGAAGTTTTGCTTGACTCACTGCAATTGCCACCTCCTGAGTTCAAGCAATTCAATTCTGCCTCAGCAGCCCACATCCATCTAATTTTTTTTTTACAGGTGTGCACCACCACATCCAGCTTATTTATTTATTTATTTATTTATTTTATTTTATTTTATTTTTAGTAGAGACAGGGTTTTACCATGTTGGCCAGAATGGTCTCAATCTCCTAACCTTGTGATCCACCCATCTCAGACTCCCAAAATGCTGGGATTACAGGCATGAGCCACACCATGCCTGGCCAAATTCACTGTTCTTACCTGTCCACATTTTCATTCTATCAGAGCAACCAAAGCCACTTTTTGTCCTGCTTTAGACTTCCAGCCAATCAATTCTTCTCATAAACCTTGCCCAGGAGGCCGGGCGCGGTGGCTCAAGCCTGTAATACCAGCACTTTGGGAGGCCGAGGCGGGTGGATCACGAGGTCCAAAGATCGAGACCATCCTGGTCAACATGCTGAAACCCCGTCTCTACTAAAAATACAAAAAATTAGCTGGGCATGGTGGCACGTGCCTGTAATCCCAGCTACTTAGGAGGCTGAGGCAGGAGAATTGCCTGAGCCCAGGAGGCGGAGGTTGCGGTGAGCCGAGATCGCGCCATTGCACTCCAGCCTGGGTAACAAGAGCGAAACTCCGTCTCAAAAAAGAACCTTGCCCAGTAACGCCCTCCACCCCAGTTTCCTCTAGTTCCAGTCACAGGTAATTTTAATGCTGCTTTCTCCCAGTATCCTAAACCCTTCAGCAACCTCCACTTCTCCTACCACTTTTCACTTATCAATTTATTTCAGCAAATATTTATTAAGTACCAACTGAGGACCATTCATTACGACAGGTGAAGGTAAAATGTTAAGATCTTATTCCCTGCTCTCACAGAACCTACAATGCATTGGAGCAAACAGAGAAATAACAAGAAAGTAAGAAATGTTTAACAGAAGTAAATTGTTACGAGAGTAAACAGAAACAGAATTTTCTAAGTTAATGAGAATTACTGATAAGAGTGACAAAAATGAACTGACACCAAAAATATGCATACCATTTAACGTCATGTTGACCCTGTTGTTGCTTGGCAACCCTAGCTATCCCAAATATTTTCCATATGGCTCACTCTAAGCAGATGAACTCTGACTCCCTCATCCATCTTTCCACCACAAACCATTTCTACAACTTCATTCCCTCCCTCTGTCATTCTCCTTGTCTCTCAGAAGAAGAGGCATTTTTCTTTTCCTTTTCAAAGACGGCCATACCAGTTGTGCTCTGGTTCTCATCCATCAATCCCTCGCTTTGGTTCTGTCAGTTAAGAAGCAGCATGGATAGTGGAAGGCACACTAGCCACATGTCAGAAGGCCTGAGGTAAAGTCCCAGCTTTGCTCTGACTTGTGATTTGGGGCAGCTCTCAGTTTCTTTATCTATAATAAGAAACTGGACTAGTATAACATTAAGGTATCTTCTCAAACATTCTATGACTATTAGTACTCCTCCTCATGCTCATTTTCAATCTTACTCTATTCACTGGCTCCTCTTCCTATGTCTAAAAATGGGTTGTTGCCTTCTTCATCAAGGGAGGGAAAAACTTCTTTCTCCCTTCTTTTATCTAAGGTCTAGTATATTCTAAATATCTTTCTCCTGTATTAAACTGTTCGCTTAAGTTATCAATGCTTAACAACTTAGATCTTTTTCTCAGACCTGATGTGGCAATCAACAAACAATCCAAACAAACCCCCTTATCTCATTTTCACAGTGATATAACAATTTGGTCCTCTCTCTTCCTGGATGCTACACTTCTTTTCCATCTCTTTTCTAGTTTATTTTTTATCTTCATTTTGACCCCCACCTAGGGTGGGTCCACAAGATTCCATCTTTATCATTGTGTTCTTCTCTGCACAAGGAGGTGACAAGTTCTGTGTAAGGAGTACTGAATGATTTCTCCAATCAGAATACAATTGCTCACTAGCAAGTTAAGACTCAGAACTGGGTCAATCAGATTTAGCATTTACTGAGAGCTTACTGGGGGCATGAAAAACATCTCTAAACAGGGCCCCAAGGCCAACAATGCCTGAAGAACGGGGGAAAGCACGGAATGGTCTTACCTGTCGCTGCTTTAGGAAGTCCAGGGCAATCTGCACATTCTGCAGCCTATGAAAACGCATCCTGCCTTTTTCCCGAGGCTGCAAACAAACCAAAAAAGGGATGTTAATTCTGGCTAACAATGTAACCATACAGATCCTTTCTCTTTTATTTGAAGGACTAACGGACCACACAAGAATTCCTCACAGTAGAAGCTAGGCATGAGAGCATTACATAAAGCACCCCTTAAGATCAGGCCTATATGTATTTCAACCAGGGTCTCAGGTCCCCAGAATGCCTCGTGTACCACTATGCATCTCGAAAACACAGAATACTGTTTGACCACTAATGCTGAATCAATGCAACAGCTTCTGTTCAGGTTCATCTGCAGTCACATGTGGCAGAACTTGATTCTGGATGTGAGGTTAATGGGAACAGACTTTGGCTTTATGGCTCCTAAAATCACAGTTAAATGCTATTGTAGAGAAAGGGTAGAAAGTTACATATTGCACAGTAATAGATGGAGCCAACCTTATTACAAATATGGCAAAAGGAGCTCAAGATAGCCGATTTTTGGCCAAGTGCAGTGGCTCATGCCTATAATCCCAACACTTTGGGAGGAGAAGGCAGGAGGATTGCTTGAGCCCAGGAGTTCGAGACAGGTCTGGCCAACATGGTGAAACCCCATCCCTACCAAAAATATAAAAATTAGCCAGGCATGGTGGCACATGCCTGTAATTCCAGCTATTTGGGAGGCTGAAGCACAAGAATCACTTAAATCCAGGAGGTAGGGGTTGCAGTGAGCCCAGATCCCGCTGCTATACCCTAGCCTGGGAGATGGAGTAAGCCTCTGTCTCAAAAAAAAAATAAGATAGCTGATTTTTAACCACAGGAAAGGAGAAGTGAGAAGTTAGATGTGCTCAAGAAACAAGTGAGAAAATCCAAAATGTAACAATCAGAAAGGCAAAAATCAGAAAGTAACCAGTTTCTCAGGAACATAGCTGTCACTGAAGGAAAGGCAATCTTTATCCCAGCATGAAATACCCAGAGCAAACAAAACTTTGATAGTGTAGGGCTGTTAACATAATTACTCCAAAGAATATTATTTTCTGCCACTCAATCCCAGATGTCATACAACCCACTGGAGAGAAGCCCATCTCTATCCAATGCCTCTGGTACCCTGTCCAAGGCTCAACTATTTCCAGTCCGAAAGTGAATGGAGTCTCTTTGTCTAGTGAGTATCTTCAGGAAGGGATATCTAGCCCTAGAACATTTTATTCTGCTTGCTTTCTAATGATGCTTTTATTTTGCTAAAATTTGGACTGAAATATTACTCTACCTAGATTATGTCCACTTCTTCTGTGAGTCTCAAATTGACACTAATTAAAAGCTGATAAAATACAAGGTAGCTCTGTTGTGGGTGTCTGTACAGAGAAAAACATTGCTCCAAATTAAAATGGGCAAAAAGTAGCATAACACATGGAGAGATAAGGATAGAAGCATCTTCTGGGCACCTCCAACACTTCTAAGCAACACTTCTGGAAGAGGAGAATCTGTATACGGAGATGTCAAGGCCTCTCTGGGCACAGGATAACTTTTTCAGTCAAAGGTTTAGGAAAAATCTTTTTAGCAAGAACATTTTCTCAGTCATTTTAGCTAAACTAAGTGTGACTATGGCTTAGAAGATGATCGTGTCTATAAAATGGAATATTCTGAGGCAATGAGAAGGGAGACAAATGATTTTTAAAATGATTTTTTTTTTTTTTTGAGACGGAGTTTCGCTCTTGTTACCCAGGCTGGAGTGCAATGGCACGATCTCGGCTCACCGCAACCTCCGCCTCCTGGGTTCAGGCAATTCTCCTGCCTCAGCCTCCTGAGTAGCTGGGATTACAGGCACGGGCCACCATACCCAGCTAATTTTTTGTATTCTTAGTAGAGATGGGGTTTCAGCATGTTGACCAGGATGGTCTCGATCTCTTGACCTTGCGACCCACCCGCCTCGGCCCCCAAAGTGCTGGGATAACAGGCATGAGCCACCGCGCCCGGCCTAAAATGATTTTAAGAGAACAGAAAGGCCGGGGGTGGTAGATCACCTGAGATCAGGAGTTCGAGACCTGTCTGGCTAACATGGTGAAACCCCATCTCTATAAAATATATAAAAAATTAGCTGGGCAAGGTGGTGGGCTAATCCCAGCTACTTGGGAGGCTGAGACAGGAGAAGTGCTTGAATCTGGGAGGCAGAGGCTGCAGTGACCCAAGATCACACCATTGCACTCCAGCCTGGGTGACAGAGTGAGACTGTCAATTAAAAAAAAAAAAAAAAAAAAAAAAGGACAGAGAATGAGGATATTGCCTAATCCCTCTTTGTTTCTGGAAAAAGATTTTGAACTATAATTTAGGGCCTGCAGGCAGAATATACTCCTCTTATACTCTGATCTTTACTCATAGGTACCCCCACCAAAACTAAATACCCTAGGAACATGCAAGTTAAATCTCGGAGTATCTCCATGCAGTGAGTTTGCAAACAACAGGCTGTTTTGAAAACAAATGGCAAGGTGTATGATGAGAACCTAGAGGCCAGAGAGGTGGAAAGAGAGTACCAGTTAGTCTGGACTGTGGAGCTGTGCACAATTAATTAACTGTCATGCTGTCAACTAAATTTTCCACAATTCTGCCATCTGGACTCAGAAAACACAGCAAGGCCACCAGAAAGCTATGGGTCTCCAGGTCAGAAGCCAACTTGACACTTCCAAAAACTGTTATTCTTTTAGTACCAACCCTTCTCAGCTAAGAAAAACAATTCCCAATCTGAGATCACCTAACAGTGACAAAAGGCACAATTAGTGTTTTTTTTTTTTTTTTTTTCTTTTTTTTTAAAGATGGGGTTTTACCATGTTGGTCAGGCTGGTCTTGAACTCCTGACCTCAGGTGATCCGCCTGCCTTGGACTCCAAAGTGCTTGGATTATAGGTGTGAGACACCGCGCCCGGCCCAATTCGTTTTAACTACTATCTTTGGGACCCAAATTCCCAGGTGAAATGAGAAGGTGGCAAATGGTAACCGAGCTACTTGGAGACCTTGAGAACCTCAGACTCTTTGATGGGCCTGCAGTGCCAGCAGTGCCAGCTGGGATGATGGCATCCCCAGGAGGACCTACTACATCATCATCATCTTCCTCCTCCTGCTCCTCGTTGTTTGTATGACGCCAGGAGGGCATGCTCACCAGACGAAGGGTCTTCAGCCCTGCTGGCTCCTTTAGCCACCAACCAAGGCAAAGACACAACAGAGGAACAAGAAATTCACAACACAAAGATGGAAAAGAGATGAATCAAACACTTAAAAAAAAGGAAAAAACAAATATGAAAATACCCTCCCACCTGCAAAAAAGGTACAAAACTAAATCAAGACCAGAGCAGATGGTTACATTTAACATTTCTTATGTTGAAACACATCTTCCGTTCTCCATGGCCTCCTACCCTCTTTGCTTTTCTAAGTCAACTATGGGAAAAAAAGATGGTGAGAATAACTGTCAAAGAGATATCCGGATGGTTTCTGGTGAAGAGATGATATCCTATCAGTATCTCCACAAACACCTAAAGGTTTTCAAGGGTTAGGAAAAGAAATTATACTGAAGTCCTTTTAACTTATTATGTAAGCAATACCACAAAAAAAAAGATCACTTTTCAATATAAAATCATTACAAATTCATCAAATGTAGCAGATACATTACCGAAAATATAACTTTGTGAGTGGTGAATAAAGTCCAGCACAATGCAAGTAAAAATTCTGATTACTTATTAGATTCATAAATGTGAGCCAGAGAGCAAGAACTAGAAATTACATGTGCCAGCTATGCTAATAAAAGCTTCTGCAAATTTTAGGCCATTAAAAAATATATAATTAATTCTACTGCAAGGCAAAAAAAGATATGAAACCAAAACAAGGGACCCCAGGGAAGCCAAGCCCTATTCTAGAAGGAGCTGAATATCACTTCAGCAGCAAAATCAACAGTGCCAAGTTCCGTTACTTAAACACAGCAATGACTAAGAAAGGCAGTGAGTGGGCTGATCTTCACAGACTACTTGAGCTTTATGTCTCTTCAGTTCTCTATTTCTCCACAGGTATTTCCAATATTCAACCCTGGACTTTTCTAAATAAAATTATGTTGTCTATGGCATGAGACAAAGAATATGAACCATATGGAATCACCTGCTCCCATTAGGCTCAAATATAGAAAACAACAGGTCCAAAAGTGGGTAATTTCCATCCCTCAAACAAAGCAAGTAGAAAAACTATCATTTGGCAAGCCAAAAAGCTCAGACAAGATTTGCCCTCAGATATGTAGGTGTTTCCCATAATCAATGTTAAAATATTTTGGAATAAGCAGGCATATTAATTATTCAAGGAGCCCAGATGTTCTATATCCAAAGCTACAGTCGGACAACCTCGGCACCTTTCCAAATCTGTGAGACTCAGTGAATCACGGAAGGGAGAAAGTGAAATGATTTAGAAAAAATAACTCCAAACACCTGGGCTTCTAAATGTAAACTTCAGATCTTTAACTGAATACAGAAAATTTTTAAAATTCTTAATAGATGGGAAAATGAGAGGAGTCTATACAGACTAGCAGTAGAACTCTAGGAAGAAAAATACACCTAATTCAAAAAAACCTTTAAATATGAATCGACTGTTACTGGAATATTAGTATCTAGAAATAAAGAAAAGTACTGTAAAAACATGCAGATATAAATGAATACAACTAATTCCTCATTTCATCAAGAAATGAGAACATACATCAATTTAAATTATATAATTTGTAAATTATAAGTCTGAGTTAGAAATAAAGTCCACCAACAATTCCTTCTACTTCTTCCTCCCATCTAACAGATCAAGCAGTGATGGCTGCTGCCCTTGCACTTAACAAGATGGACCAATAAGTCATTTATAGGGCCACAATTGTGAGGCCATTCATTAGCAGAAGCTCACCAATTTGATGCCCGAGAGGACCTCCAACAGAGAGATCAGGTTATGGCCATCCCGCAGATCTTCATAAAGATCATTGATGTGCTTGCGGACCTGTGAATGAGAGTGAAACAGACAGATTTTTATTTGATACTGAATTATTATACTATACACATAAAAATCTCTGGTTCTAGATAAACAAAGCATTTAAAAGTGGAAGAATTAATTAAATAAAATTCAGGAAGTTTCATGTTGGAGTAAAATACATAGGAAATGTTAATACTTTACCAGAAACGTGGGGTTTTTGTTGTTGTTGTTGTTTTGAGATGAAGTCTCGCTTTGTTGCCCAGGCTGGAGTGCAATGGCACAATCTTGGCTCACTACAACCTCTGCCTCCTAGGTTCAAGCAATTCTCCTGCCTCAGCCTCCAGAGTAGCTGGGATTACAGGCATGTGCCACAACGCCCAGCTAATTTTTTGTATTTTTAGTAGAGACAGGCGTTCACCATGTTGGTCAGGCTCGGCTTGAACTCCTAACCTTGTGATCCGCCCACCTCAGCCTCCCAAAGTGCTGGGATTACAGGTATGAGCCACCGCACCTGGCCAAGTGTGTGTCTTTTAAATTGATGCCAGATCTATTACACACTCTAACCAACATGAAACAATGTCCTAGAAAGTTTGGACAAGAAGATGGGGAATCTTAATTATCAAGTTAGTATGGGCCAAAATGTAATAGGATGGCTACCAATGGGTAGATGAGTCCAGCCAGAGTCAGAAAAGCCTTCCAGAGTGCTGCAAAGGAAACTAAATGCTAGGTACCCAGTGTTCCCTGGGGTGTACTTCCAATTTAATCCTTCTCTTACCAAATATTTCTAATACTGAATTTGAGAATAATTTTCTTTGTGGGAAATGTGAATTAAATTAAAATTTGAATTTTAAAATTGAAACTATGGAAACACAGATCTCACTTTGGGAGAAAGTGTGGTTAATAGCAATCATTGTACTAAATGTTTAATACATTATCTCATCTATCTCTCACATCTCTAAGGTAAGTATTATTATTATTATTATTTCTATTTTACACATGAGGAAATAAGGCACAAAGACGTTAAGTAACTTGCCAAGGTCACCAAGGAGAAAAACCGGCCTCGGTTTGGTCTGATTTTAGTTTTTGCCATTAACTACTATGCTTTGTAATCAGCCATCATCTCATTTTATTTATTTAATCCAAACAACGACCTTGAGAAGTTTATTTATTACCCCCGTTCCATGAAAGAAACCAAGGAAGCTGAGGCTCTGAGATGTTATAGTCATATAGCTACAAGTTAAGTGGTGGTCAGATTTCTGATTCAGTCCCAGTCTGATGACAACTCCGTCAAGTGATATTCACTACTGGGTGCAGTGGCTTGCACCTATAATCCCAGTATTTTAGGAGGCCAAGACCCCCCTAAAGTAGGATCCCTTTGAGCCTAGGAGTTTGAGACAAGCCTAGTAGTTTGAGATCAGCCTGGGCAACCTAGGAACACCCCATCTCTACCAAAAAAAAAAAAATACGAGGCATGGTGGTATATGCCTATGGTCCCAGATGCTCGGGAGGCTAAGGTGGGAGGATCACTTGAGCCCAGGAAATCAATGCTAACACCACTATACTCCAGCACAGGTGATAGAATGAGACCCTGCCTAAAATAAAAATTAAAAAAAAAAAAAAAAGGTGATGCTCACAATGCAAATGAGAAGACTTGTGGAAATTATAAGGAAAACTGATATTTAATATATAATTTTCCAGAGAGCATTAGAAAGGGCTACTTTTAGAAGTAGCAGAATTTTAGTTACTGTAATTTTTGAAGTAGAGGCTAGGATTTGGGGATTTTTACATTTGAGTGAAAAACTAAAGTCCTTTCCAATTATAATATTCAGAATAGCTCTGAAAGTAGAAGGGGAGGCCAAGTGCAGTGGCTCACAGCTGTAAAGCCAGTGTTTTGGGAGGGTGAGGCAGGAGGACTGCTTGCACCCAGGAGTTCAAGGCTCAAGGCTGCAGTGAGTTATCACTGCACCACTGCACTCCAGCCTTAGTGACAAAGCAAGATCCTTTTGTAATGAGAGGGTTTTTTTTTCAACCCTGTCTCAAAAAAAAATTAAGAAACAAAGTAGAATAAGAATGGAAACCGAACAAGATAAAGAATGGAAACATCTGCAAAGAATTCCTCAAAGAAATGAAACTTGGAGGACTAGCAAATGTTTTAGCAGAAGTAAGATGGAAAAACCATGTAAGACTAGGCATAGAGATGGGCATATGCAAGGTATATGTGTTTGTATGTATGTGTGTAAAGAAATAAGTAGGTGACAGGTACATTATTCAGCTGGGGAAGATGGTTCATCATGGACTGAAAAACAGCTTTCAAAAATTAAAAGAACATTTTTTGCCAGGTGTGGTGGATCACACCTGTAATCCCAGCACTTTGGGAGTCCAAGGCAGGTGGATCATGACATCAGGAGTTCAAGACCAGCCTGGTCAAGATGGTGAAACCTGTCTCTACTAAAAACACAAAACATTAGCTGAGCATGGTGGCATGAGCCTGTAATCCCAGCTACTAGGGAGGCTGAGGCAGAGAACTGCTTAAACCCGGGAGGTAGAGGTTGCATAGAGCTGAGATCGCGCCACTGCACTCCACTCCAGCCTGGGTGACGGAGTGAGATTCTGTCTTAAAAAAGAAAAAAAAGGCCGGGCGCGGTGGCTCAAGCCTGTAATCCCAGCACTTTGGGAGGCCGAGGCGGGTGGATCACGAGGTCAATAGATCGAGACCATCCTGGTCAACATGGTGAAACCCCGTCTCTACTAAAGGTGCAAAAAATTAGCTGGGCATGGTGGCGCGTGCCTGTAATCCCAGCTACTCAGGAGGCTGAGGCAGGAGAATTGCCTGAACCCAGAAGGCAGAGGTTGCGGTGAGCCGAGATCGCGCCATTGCACTCCAGCCTGGGTAACAAGAGCAAAACTCCATCTCAAAAAAAAAAAAAAAAGAAAGAAAGAAAGAAAAAAAAAAAGGTTGGGTGCGGTGGCTCACACCTGTAATCCAAGCACTGGAGGCCAAGGTGGGCAGATCACCTGAGGTTGGGAGTTCAGGATCAGCCTGATTAACATGGTGAAACCTCGTCTTTAGAAAAAAAAAAAAAGAAGAAGAGTATTTCTTCAATTTTTCATAAGGTACTGGCTCTAGATATGCCACACTTTTAAGTTTAATCTGCAATATTAGCGTTTTCTCCATCGCTTTCTTAAGTCTAAACAATGAACAAAACAAGACATCTAACTCAGACTTGCAGAATTTGCTGATTTCCAGGATGTAAATATTCCCAATACAACCAATTTCAAGCTACTAATATATTATCACTAAATGCAATGTTAGGAAGAAATATGCAGTAGCACACCATTATGTATAGTATGTCCATCACAGAGACACAATAGACATAATTAACTTCAAGAGCACAGACAATGCTAACACACGGCAAAATAAATATGAAATGAAGAACTTTGAGTATTCATTACATTTATTTTAAATATAATTTATTTAATTGTATGTTTACATAATTTAATTTTTAATAATAGCAATAACCAGATGTGGTGGCTCACACCTGTAATCTCAGCACTTTGGGAGGCCAAGGTGGGTAGATCATGAGGTCAGGAGCCTGGCCAACATGGTGAAACCCCATCTCTACTAAAAATACAAAAAATTAGCTGGGTGCGGTGGTGGGCATCTGTAATCCCACCACCTGTACTCTACTCGGAAGGCTGAGGCAGAAGAATCACTTAAACCCAGGAGGCAGAGGTTGCAGTGAGCCAAGATTGTGTCACTGTACTCCAGCCTGGGAAACAAGGGCGAAACTTTGTCTCAAAAAATAAAAAAACAACCCTCCTTTCAAATAGATCCAAGGTTTCAAGCTTGCAGCATGGATCAACAGTAGTGCACCATTAACAGAAATAGGCAGGTTATGGTTATAACGGTTGAATGAGCAGCGGATTTGATAAATTCAATTTTAAATATGATGAATTTAAAATGGCAGCAAAGGAGTTACAAATGAAAATGTTCTTGAAGCAACTGGAAATACTAGAATTCTATTTGGGTCAGCTGAGAACTTGTTTAGAAGTCACATGCAAAGAGGTGCTAGCTAAAGACATGGGAAACGAGCTTTCTGGATTAGGAGCAAAATAGAAGAGCAGAGTGCTAAGGACTGAGCCTTAGGGAATAGCCAAAATTAGAAGGCAGGAGATGGAAAAGCAATCAGCAAAGGACAGAAGAAAAAGACAAAACAAAACAGTAACAGTGAAAGAGGTAAGCAAAAATACAAGAAAGTGTAACCAAGACAGGAATGATCGCAGGTATCAACTTCTACAGCAGAAGTCAAGGAGGGTAAGGATTAAGAAAGTGTTTTAATTTTCCTACAAAGAGTGCTTTTATGAGACTAATTCTCAAGAGAGTGGTGCAGTGGAAATTAGATTATAAATTAATGGTAGGTTTTTTTTTTTTTAAAGTCAGATAATATTAAATACTTAACATTAAGGATTAAGAAATGAAGGGACAACTAAGTTAAATGAGGGATTTATTTTGATAGATAAACTCTGAACATAAGGAATAAAAATCAGGAGGTGACATTCAATAAATAAATATTGACTGACTGATTGAGACAGTCTTGTCATGTTGTCCCCCCCCCCACTTTAACCCATGCATACTTAAATCTTGCTATGTTGCCCAGGCTTGTCTCGAACTCCTGGGTTCAAGTAATCCTCCCACTCAGCCTCCCAAAGTGTTGGGATTACTAGCATGAGCTACCCCCACTCCCAGCCTGAATTAATATTTAGATAAACTGTGGTTGCTGGGCACAGTGTCTCATGCCTGTTTAATACTAGCGCTTTGGGAGGCTGAGGCCAGCAGATCGCCTGAGGTTGGGAGTTTGAGATCAGTCTGGCCAACACAGCAAAGCCCCGTCTCTACTAAAAATACAAAAAAAAAAAAAAAAAAAAAAAAAAAAAATTGTGCATGGTGGCAAACACCTGTAGTCCCAGCTACTTGGGAGGCTGAGGCAGGAGAATTGCACATGCAGGGGTTGCAGTGAGCCAAGATC